TAAAAGATAAATGACCTAGACGACAATGCTAGAGATAAATCTAGTCTTTATTACAATGACCCTTGTGCTGACTTGACTTACTCAATAAACTTGTGCCTTTGGAAGTATTAGAAGCCACTAAGTCCAAAATGTAGAGGCCATTTGTCATGAGTACTCTATTAATCATTTCTCCAAGTCAAATCCTGAAACACAATAGAATTAGGGGAAAATGTTAATACAACTGTTAGTGTTGACTAAATAAGGGTAGAATAGTCATTTGAGTTTTATTAACATGGTGATGTGTCTTTTAGTTAGTGCTATGTGTCCCAACTTAAATAGGGGGCATAAAAGTCATTTGCTATTTATTTTAGTAAACTATATATCCTGGCCGATCTAAGAGAGAATTAGATGTATTCTCTTCTCTTGAGTTTGAACAGGTTTTCTCTTCTTCTATTTCTCCTTCTCTTCTTCTCTTTTACATCAAGTTCAGATCTGCAACTGACAAATATAAATCATCACATGGTATCAGAGCCAGGTTAAGTCAGTCCAGATCTGTTCGACTTTCAGTGCACCCCAGCTTGTAATCTCTCAGTTTTCTTCCTTTTTTTTTGGGGAGTTTCGTAAAAGGGCTGAAAGGGAGTTGTCATATCTTCATTCTGGAGGTTCTAATGTATTCGGTTGGGTGTGAAGTTGTGGTTTCAGGTGATTGGTAGAGAACCCTCTAATCGATGGAACGAAGAGGGCTGCAACAGTAGGTTTCGTGGTAGGTTCAGATGAGTGGGTCGAAGGCTTATTATCAGTCGTCTGGTGGTAGGTTCAGATTGTGGTACTCTTGTGTGTGATGTGTTTGTGAGGTGCCGAAAGTGACAATAGTGGGGCTTAACATTGCTGAAACCTATGACAGTGTATGTTTCAGCAAGGGTCAGTCGTATGGTGGTGAGTGATTAACTTGAGGAGTGRAGTACAGTGTTGTTGGAGTGCAGTGTAGTGATTACTGGGTAAGGCAGGTTGAAACAGAAGAAAAAAAAGTTTTTTTTTACAGCCATGGGAGATAATGAACGTAAGTCGGTTATGATCCCTCAAGACTACTTGAATGTACAGATGACCTCAATTAAATTGAATGGAGAAAATTATGTTCCTTGGGCCAAATCTGTTGAGGTGTTTCTTAGAGCCAAGAAGAAAGTAAAGCATATAAGAGAAGAAAAACCCCATTTGATTCCTAGGAGTATGATGATTGGGAGCAAGAAGATGCACAGATTATGACTTGGCTGTGAAACAGTATGGAACCTAAGATTAGTGTAAACTTCTTGTTCTTAGACAGCCAAGGAAATTTGGGATCATGCAAGAAAGCTTTATTCATGACAGGATAACACCACCAGAGTATATTAGCTCTATCAAGAGTATTTTAGTCTGCAACAGGGTAACCAGAGTTTTGAAGAGTATTATGCTAGTCTGAGAAATTTGAGGAATGAGTTGAGTGTGTATCACCCCCTTACATCTGATGTTAAAATTCAGCAACAACAGAGAGAGCAGCTTGATGTAACCAGATTTTTGGTGGGATTGAAGCCTAAATATGAACCGGTGAGGGCTCAGATACTAGGTGAGTCTGCCCTCCCCTGTCTCAAGGAGGTGTTTGCCTGTCTCCAGAGGATTTCTGTTGGCCCTCTAGAGAACCCCACCATATCCTGGGCAAAAATTCAGCAACAACTTGGCTACTGTTGTCTCTCTTGGTTGGTCATGGAGGAAGCAACAATAGTTGCATTAGGCTTTCTATTCTGCTTCCCCTGAAACTTCTTAGGCTTGCTAATCAAATCTTAGCAAAATTCTTCACCAAAGCTTGTCCTTATCATATTCACCTTTCCTTTGTACCTTAGCCTTCTTGCTTTCACCTTTAGACATAAAGCAACCTTCTCCTCAGTTGAATTCATAGAAGCCCTCCTAGTTTTCTTGGAATGAACCACGATAAACGCTTTTTTTAAGAGCTGAAAGCCCCTTACCACCTAAAATTTGAACCCAGATGGGTTCATAAACATAATCCAGACCTGCCACGAATGCAAACACCCTTTCTTGAGAGATCAACTTTCTATAGACTGAAGCATCCTCTTCACTTTTCCAATGAAGTCTTCTAACGGTCTAACACCTTCCACATGGAAGTAAGAGACAAATAGTAGGCTGCTAGAGATTTGTTGCCTTGTTTGCAAGCTGATGACTCAACTTGGAGTTGGTAGATCCAAGCAAAATGCCTTTGCTCTCAGTTTGTTGACTTTATTTGGTTCCAAATCTCCTTGCCCATTTCAGCCTGTGTGAAGTGTTTTCTAAGAGCATGATGAATTAAGTATGTAAGCCAAGACATTATCATATAATTCTCTTATTCTCACTTATCATAATCAACCCCTTCAGTAGTAGGCTTCTTTGACCTCCCAGTGAGATACCCCAGCTTTCCCTTGTCTCCAACAATCGTCTTCACACCTTTGGATCACTCCAAGTAATTCAGTCCATCAAGGAGAACAATGGACACAGGAAAACCTATGCTGTTCATTCCACTACCAGAACCAACATGTCCCCCAGAAGAGTTTGAAGTGACAGAACTCTGAAGACATTGCTGAAACACTACTACTAGATGAGTAACACCACCAAATAACCTAAAAGGCAAAAACAACCCTTTTTCAGGTCACACGTAGTGACATGACTGTAACAGTCCAAGAAAACAGCACACCAACTGTACTTGGAGGAACAAAGCTGAATCATAAAATCTTGCTTGAGAGCTGCAACCACTTGCACCATGCACACACTATCACTGTAAACCATTATTGCACGCACAGTCTGGCCAACCTTGCTGAATCCCTTCGATTTTCACTTGGCAAATAGAAAACATAACTAGATTACTTGGAAAACCTTCCTTGCAACGGAAAATAAAGCCTGGTCACATTCCAGTACCTTCTCTAACTATAACAACCCTCCATAAGGCTCTCAAAACTGTCCAGATCGAACACAGCAGAAACTTTCCTTATATGGTAGCCAGATCCTCTTACATGCTTTGATCTCTTAAGCAATCCAGAAAAAATAAAAATTGGACTTACAAATGAAGAAAAGATTAGAGGAGAAAGGCAGAGGCAATCAGATCAGATATCTTTTTGTCTCTACCTCTTCACGTTGTCAAAATGGTCAGTCAAGGAGAAAATAAAGAAGAATAAGAGAAAACAGATTTTGCTATGACAGATTATGCTCTGATACCATGTGATCTGTCAAAAAAATCTAGGAAGAGAAAAGTAGAGAAGAGAAGAGAGAGAAGAAAAGAGAACATAAATATGCCTTGGGTAAGTGGAGGTGCCCACTTTACCCTTGTGATTAAATCATAAAAATAAAGTGTGAGGACAAAAATACCCTTGCACTACAAAATACAAAATAAAGCACATCTCATGACAGTTCACTTGAGAAAAAAAATGCTTAGTAGGACAATAAAAAAAGGAAGGAAATTTGAGTAAGGTGGAGAAGCAATCATGAAAATCATAAACTGGAATATTAGAGGACTATGAGTTCAAGGAAGAGATAAACAGTCAAGTTTTCACTTGGACAAGAGATGCCTGACGTTGTAATGATCCAGTAATCTAAATTAGCAGAAATTGATTTTCGATTGTCCAAAGTGTATGGGCATGTGGGAACATCAATTGGTCCATGGTGCCATCTTTGGGGGCATTAGGGGACATAATTCTTTTGTGGAATGGAAACTCTATGAATGTATGAAGGAGTTCATGGGAGATACACATGGTCAATAAAACTAAAAAATATGGAAGATGGTCTTAAATGGGTATTGACAATCATTTATGGACCCAACTTGTATAGGGAAATAAGGAACCTATGAATATCTATTTAAAATGTTTAATCTTCTATTAGTTGTGCATAGTGGACTTTTACCTTTTAGGTCCTGAATGTGTAACAATACAATATGGAACTAAACAGAGTGGAATAGTGGAACAAAATTCATGTAGCTGACCCTATGGGTGCAAATGGATTGGATCATGATCCGATCCGATCCTATTTTGTCAGATTCAGATATCCCCATTTCGGATCTTTGGATTGGATAATAGGACCTGATAAAAAATTGGGTCGAATTTGGATCACCCCTATCTGATTTGAGAGGATTTGATCCGATATAAATATGTTATTTATTTATTTATTTAAAAATATGTTATTTATATTGCACTTTTGTAAATCTGTTATATTGTTTATTTTTTTTATAAAAACATGTATATATATGATGAAAGTAGTTGAAAAGATACTCGTATTTTTTGTTTTTCTTTATTTAAATTGTTATATTTTATTTTCTTTCAATAATTTACTTTTTAATTAAATCGGATTGGATCAGATCCAAATATCCGACTTCCTCATCGGATTCGAATTCAAATCAATGTTTATGAGATCCGATCGGATCAGATCTTCTGTTCATAGTATTGTATCGGAATTGGATATACCCTGATTTGCATCCCTAGCTGACCCCATATGGTTAGTGCAAATATTAGTTGAGTTGAGTATGTAATAATACATTTTATAAAGTTCTTTAGAGTTCCATAAGTAAATCCTACATTTCTTTGGATGTTTTTAACCTTTTCCCACTTTCCTCATATTTTTCCTTTCAAATTTCAAGTGAATTTCAAAAATCCCTATTTGGACATGGCAAAATGCCTAATGAAACAGAAGCTTAAAAAGCATGATTTCAGTATCCTAAAAAATAGCATTTATCCACATAAGATTATTTGCAAAAATAAAAAAAATAAAAAGAGTAAATAGCATTGACCTCTTATCTTAATGTGATGATTTTATACTTTGCTATAAGAAATTAGTACCTTTGAGATTTTTTTTTTGTTGCAATGACAATATTAGGATTATGTTTGTTGAGTTCTTTTGGCATTGGATTCTTTTATTTTACATTCATGCGATAGTGTTGCCTTTCTTGTGATATGGGATACTCGACATTGTATTTCATATTTATGGCTTCTGAGAAAATTTATTTTGTTCACAAGATTTCAGCCATTTGTGAGACAGTGTTCCATTATCAGGACAAAATCCCTCCTATTGATTATGTGGTCAATGTTGCTTCAAACATGAAGGTCAGTGAACTACAACATTCAAGGATAGTTTTCTTAACACTTAATGTTGCAATTTATTCAATCATTTGTGCTTAATTTTCTCCTCCATTTGAGCAAAATGTATTTTAATGTAATACGAACAGTGGTTCACTTCTTTATGGTTCAGTTGCAGTTGCTATATATATTGTTGAATTAATTGATTTTATTTTGTTAGGGTCTGTTTGGCTGATTAAATCTTTTTTGTTTTAATCTGTTATTGTAACTTTACTTAGTAGGGGCACAAGGGTCATTTCCCTTATTTTTTCGCCCTATATGTCGTAATGAAGCTGGCGCTGCCAACACTGTTCCATTGCTTCTAAACCTTCTTCTCCTTTCTTCCTTCTTCTCTTCTCTTCTCTTCTCTTCTCTTCTCTTCTCCCCTCTTCTGTTGTAATCTTCAATTTGATTTACTGTCAAGATGGTATCAGAGTGTGGCCATTGAATTTGGGCGATCAAGTGTCTTCTCCAAGCTGCTGAATCTGGGCGGAACAGAGGAGTAAATCTAGGCTGATCGATTCAGATCTGCAACTAGTACCACCCCTTTTTTCCTGTGTTTCTTCCCTTGGTCGTGTATCAAGAGGAAGAAACTGAAGTGTGTGTGGAGCCTTTTGTTCTAATATAAGGAGGGATCCTAAGTTGTGGTTTTAGATAAAAAAAATTCTGTGTTGACCATGTCGTTTGAGAACTCTGCTACTTCAGGGATTTCTGGAAGTCAAAATGGAGTGAGTGGGGGAATGGATATGAGTTTCCCCATGGTTGTTATTCCCTTTGATGGTCTGAATTACCTTGAATGGTCTAGGGGAATAAAACTCTACATCACTGCTAGGGGAAAAATASGATACRTMARTGGRAAAGTGAAGGAACCGAAGAGTGGAAGTGCTGAATATGATAGATGGAACCAAGAAAATAGTATGGTGATATCATGGCTCTTGGTTTCAATGCTGGCACAGGTGAGAAAAACTTTTATGTGAGATGAAACTGCTTGTGAAATATGGGAACAAGCAAAGTCCACATATTCAGAGCAGAGACACTATGCCAAGATATACCAACTACAAGCTGAATCATCCACTTGCAAGAAGAGGGAATGGAGTCTCTCTGTGTACTATTCATATCTGACATCGATATGGAAAGAACTTGATCACTATCAAAATGTTAACTGGAAGTGTGATGAAGATGTAGAGGCATACAAATCACTTGTATCTCAACAACGGGTATTTTCCTTCCTCTTGGGGTTGAATCCTTCATATGAGTCCATCAGGGTGCAGATCTTGGTAAGTAAAGGCTTGCCATCAGTTTAGGAGGTTTATGCCTTGGTTCAGTCCGAAGAGAGTAGAAGAAATGTGATGAATTGTACAGAGGGGGAGCCAGTTGCCCTATCTGTTCGGGGAAGTTCAGATGCTAATGTTGGACGTGGTTTTAAGAAGGGTGACTCTCAGAAGAGAACAGATGATAAGAGTAAGCTTTGGTGCACTCACTGCCAAAAGACAAGACACATCAGAGATACATGTTGGGATCTCCATGGAAAACCTAAATGGGCACAGGATTTGGGTAAGAAGTCAACAATTGATCAGGGCAAGAAACCAAGTCAGCAGAATCAGAAAGAGTATAACTCAGCTAATATGCCATCTCAAGAGATTGGTCCCATGGTAACTCAGGAAAGGCATCCCAGTTCTGACTCTAAGGAGATCATCAACTCCTTTTGTGACCATTTGCGTCTGCATCAAGTAACACTACCATTGCCTTCCATGTGCCATCTCATACCTCTAATTCCCCTTGGGTAATTGACTCCGGAGCCTCAAACCACATGACTGGTAAGTCAAATTTATTTCAGACATACAATCTTCTCTCTGGGAGAGATAAGGTGAGACTAGTTGATGGTTCTTTCTCCACTATAGCCGGCCAAGGAACCATATCTCTCCCACTCAGCCTTTACCCTTTCTAATGTACTACATGTTCCTAAATTACCTATAAATTTGCTTTCTATTAGTAGTATTACTCACTCCTTGAACTGGTCAATTACTTTTTATCTGTCTTCATGTGTGTTTCAGGATTTGGCCTCGAGGAAGACGATTGGTAGAGGAAGCATGGTGGATGGTCTCTACGTGTTGGAGAATAAAGCTAGTCTTGTGGCTACAGAGTCCGTGAGTTCGTCCAGTGAGAGTCAAGCCTATTTATGGCACAGTCGTCTTGGTCATATTTCTTTTGAGTTGTTAAAAGTTATATTTCCAAAGTTGTTTGAGTCTTTGTCTGTGAGTCAGTTGCAGTGTCAGACATGTCAATTGCGTAAACATTGTAGAAGCTCTTTTCCTTTGAGAAATAAAAGATGTGAATTTCCATTTCATATTGTTTATTCTGATGTTTGTGGCCCTGTTACTCTACCTACTGAGGCTGGATATAAGTACTTCATTACCTTGATCGATGATTACTCTAGATACACCCGGGTTTACCCTATGCGATCTAGAGATGAAGTGCCTAAAATTGTGAAAGACTTTCAACTCATGGCGTTCACTCAGTTCCAAACTGAAATCCATATTTTCCAGTCGGACAATGCAAATGAATACTTCCATAGTGATATCACAGAATTCTTTGCTTCAAGTGGATCACTTCGACGAAGCTCTTGTGCTAGGACACCCCAACAAAACGGTGTTGCTGAAAGAGAAAACCGTCATCTTCTTAAAGTGGCTCGTGGCTTGTTAATCCATATGAATGTTCCGAAACGCTTTTGGGTGGATGTTGTTCTTTGTACTACGTACATCACCAACTGTATGCCATCTCGGTTACTAGAGTATAAGGCACCACATCAACTTTTGTTTCCTACAACTTTATTGTTCCCCATTCCAATGTGTGTTTTTGGGTGTTGTTGCTTTGTCCATAACTTGTCACCTACTCGGGGTAAACTTGATCCTCGTGCTATTCCTTGTGTCTACCTTGGTTACCCTCTATCTCAAAAGGGGTATCGTTGCTATGATCCTGCCTCTCATAAGTACTATGTCTCAATCGACGTGTCCTTTGAGAATCAACCTTTCTTCTTGGTTTTTCCTCAGGGGGAGAGTAGGTTTGAGGAGAAACAGGGTCAAACTCAACTACCTCCTCTACCTAACCCTCCTTCTTTCCGTGTCTTTCTTCGCCGCCACAAAAGCCAACAAAGTTCAAGAGCCGTGGAACCTGACACCATGCAACCAACATCATTGGCCTCTTCGGAGGTTGATCCTTCCCTTCAACCAGGTACACTTGCTCCTATTGATATGCCTGCTCCTCTTAATGTTGATTCCCCTGTCATTAATGATCTTGATGTTCCTATTGCTAAGAGAAAGTGTGTTAGATCTTGTACAACTAATCATCCTATCTCTCGCTTTGTGTCCTATGGTCATATTTCATCTTCGTATTGTGCATTCCTCTCCTTTGTTGACAGTTTCCCTGTTCCTAAGAATGTGGCAGAAGTTTTATCCAAACCTGAATGGACAAATGCAATGAAGGAAGAGATTGATGCATTACACAAAAATGACACTTGGGAGTTGGTGGATCTTCCTGATGGGAAGGAACTAGTAGTGTGCAAGTGGGTGTTCACAGTGAAACACAAGGTTGATGGAACTGTTGAAAGGTACAAGGCCAGATTGGTGGCAAAAGGTTTTACACAAGTATATGGAGTGGGCTATGTAGAGACTTTTGCCCCAGTAGCCAAGATGAACTCTATCAGGATTCTTCTTTCACTGGAGGCAAATCTTCACTAGGAACTTCTCCAATTGGACATCAAAAGTGCTTTCTTGAATGGTGACTTAGAAGAGGAAGTGTACATGACCCAACCTCCAGGTTTTTGTGCCAAAGGCAGTGAACAGAAAGTGTGCAAGTTAAAAAAATCTTTATATGGACTGAAGCAATCTCCTCGGGCCTGGTTTAGTAAGTTCCACTTAGCAGTTCAACAGATGGGGTTCAAACGATGCCATTCATATCACACATTATTTGTAAAGAAAGATGAAGGGAAAATTGCAGCTCTAATTGTGTTTGTGGATGACATAGTGATCACAGGAGATTGGGAGGCCGAAATACAGAGATTAAAAAAGTTCTTAGCCACTCAATTTGAGGTGAAAGATCTAGGCCCCTTGCGTTATTTCCTTGGAATTGAAGTTGCTCACTATCACAAGGGCATCTTTATTTCCCAACGGAAATATGTACTAGATCTACTAGAAGATACAGGCAAACTAGGGGCGAGACCAATTGGCTCAGCAATTGAACCTAACCATCAACTGGGAGACAGTCAGGGAGAGTTCTTGAAAGATGTGAAGAAGTTTCAGAGACTTGTAGGGAGACTCTTGTATTTGTCTAGGGCCAGACCTGATATTGCTTATGCAATGGGTGTCCTTAGTCAGTTCATGCACAATCCTAGGACAACTCACCTTGAAGCTGCAAAGAGGATCCTCAGATACCTCAAGAAGTTTCCTGGAGCTGGTTTGTTGTTCCAAAAACATGGACATTTAAAGGTTGAAGTATATACTGATGCTGATTGGGCAGGGGCAGTTGATGACCGGAAGTCTACCAGTGGATATTGTGCCTTTGTAGGGGGAAACCTAGTCATATGGAGAAGTAAGAAGCAAAGTGTGGTGGCTAGATCTAGTGCTGAAGCAGAATACAGAGCTATGTCTCGTGTAGTTGCTGAAATCATGTGGATAAGAAATCTGTTAGGAGAACTGGGTTTTACCGTTAGCAACCCTGTGTCACTCTATTGCGACAATAAGGCTGCTATCAACATTGCAGCTAATCCAGTCCTCCATGATAGGACGAAACACATTGAAGTGGACAAGCATTTTATTAGAGAGAAACTTGTAAATGGAGAAGTGTGCACCCCATATGTTAGCTCTGAAGAACAACTTGCAGACATCTTCACCAAAGGTCTTCATCATGTGCAGCATAATGAGTTGTGTGACAAGTTGGGCATGATTGACATCTATGCTCCAACTTGAGGGGGTGCTGTAATAATTGATTTTTTTTTGTTAGGGTCTGTTTGTCTGATTTAAGCCTTTTATTTTAATCTGTTATTGTAACTTTACTTAGTAGGGTCACAAGGGTAGTTTCCCTTATTTTTTTTTCGCCCTATATATTATAATGAAGCTGGCGCCGCCAGCACTGTTCCATTGCCTCTAAACCTTCTCCTTTCTTCCTTCTTCTCTTCTCTTCTCTTCTCTCCTCTTCTGCTGTAATCTTCAATCGGATTTACTGTCAAGATATATTTTACAAGGGAACTGGTGTTTGGAATTGCCTTATTTACATACATCATTTCTTGAGAAATAGGATCATGATGATTTATAGGATTGAAGTCATGCTATTTTGTACAAGGATGCAACTTATTATGGTCACATCCAACAAAATGTTCAACCCCACCCAAGAAAAAGACATTTCCCTGATTGTAATTATATAAGTTAACCAGTATCTTAGAGTCTGTAGAAGCATGAAAGAATGGAGGGAACTTACCTCTCTAATCTCCAGACAAAAGGATTGCTAGTCTGCTACTTTTTACTTTGTCTATTCTTCTCATGAAAAATGCAATTTTGGACTTCTTTAACCTCCAATAAATTTCTCCTGCTCCTTTTCTTTCTTTTTTTTTTAATCTGTACATAATGCTCCTCTTCCTCCTCTTCTTTAGGTCCATAGACATTTGGAAGTGACTACTCAAACATATCCCCTTCACTCTTCAAGAGAATTGGGATATATTGTCACCATACAACTACCCCCTTTTATGACAGATTTTAACATTTCTGAGCCAAATCCTCTTTAACATGCTCCATCCACATTTCATTGCACAGCCCCATTATCTTTTTTATTGGTAGCAGTAGAAACTTTTTGATTGTCAGAAATGAATAATATTTAAAATGGTTAAAGAACTGACTTGTTACTACCCCTTATCAGTTGTTAACATTTGAAATCTAGGAAATAATCACCCAATACAACTTTTTTCCCTGATGTTGTTGCCATATTCCTTCAGTTTCATTTTTAGCCATCCCACCACTTTTCTAGAATTGCCTTGTACCACTATCTTTTGCAGGTTTAATCTTTTGTATATCTATAGTCCTTGGAGGACAGCATGCAGTTCAACCCTTGTACAGTCTCTCTTTGTCAAGACTGTTGGAACAGACCAACAGAAGGCAGTTAGTTAGTTTTACAAGAGGAGGCCACATCAGCTCAACTAACCAGCCATTTGTAATAACCGCCATCCACTTGTAACAACTGCCACCCAATTGGACTGTCAAGACTGTTGGAACAGACCAACAGAAGGCAGTTGGTCAGTTACAAGAAGAGGCCCCATCAGCAGCCACTTGTCACAACTGCCATCCACTTGTAACAGCTGTAACAGTCAAGATTGTAACACTATAAGTAGTAGATCCAAAAAGGAATAAAGGAGGACTCTTTCAGAATTAAACACTCTTTCAGCAATAAACTCTCTCTCTCTCTCCCCCCTTTCCTTCCAAGAATTCAGGAGGTTGGCCCCTCGAAGAGCCCTGAGTTAGGCAGGTTCCTAACACTCTTGACTTTCCTATGTGCTACAGTCTTGGATTTCTAATACTATACCCATCAGTATTACGTTTGACTTGATCTTAGACAGGTGGAATCAAATCCCTTGCCAAGTTTATGCTGGAAGCTACAATGCCATAATCATTATGTATCTAATGTAAAGAGATAATTACAATTTTTAGTGTAGTAAGCACACTCATCCAAACCCAAGTGCAATTTGACAGGACCAACATAAAGACTACTGACTTTCCATTATTGGTAGATGATTTTATTTTAAAATTTACTAGGGCATTTTTTTTTTCTTAATGATGCATGTTCCCTGCATGATTATGATGTGCACTTAATGTCATTCAAGTATGTTAGGATTTAATCACTGATATAGAACTGGTTTAAGTACTGCAATTTTTTCTTTGATTACTTGTGGTAAAGGGAATCTGATGTTTAAAATCATCATTGCAGTTATACCCCCCCAAAGACTGGTTAGTGGCTTCATCTTTGCCTTCTAACTTCAATCCAGACACCATTCAGATGGTATTGAATGAGCTTACTATGAACAATGTGAGGTAAATAAGATGGTGCTTGAATAATTATTACATTTGAGCTGAAATTATTTGACTATAAAAACTAAAATCTCTCTGCTTCACTGTGTTGTTCTCCCTTCCATAATTTGTGAATATAAGAAATTCTTAAGAGACAGAACGTAGCACCATGGTATCAAGAGTGGTTTTTTTTGTTAATTAACAATGAAATAAAAAGAAATGGATGAAATTTTCATTTTCTTCTAAGTTTTTTTTTTTAATTTTTAATTTTTTTTTTGTTTGGTGTTGGTACTTGTAAATCTCAGTCTTTAGAAAACCAGACTGGACCGGTCGGTCGAACTAGTTGATTTGTGACCCGGGATCTTGGCCAGTTTGTTCTTACTCCAATAACCACTTTTGCTAAAAACGATGAAAATTGGCTGACCAGCCTGTTTAATTGGAAAACCGTGACCCGGTCCTAGTTTCATGAAACCGCTTGGGTCTTTAACCAATTGAAATTTTAAAATGTGTTTAACAAGATTTGAACCCATGACCACTTATTTTCATATATTGCTTAACTACCACTATGTATGTATGTATGGTTCGACCCCGGTTGAACCTCTGACCTGTGAACCTCTCCCTTCTCCAGTTCTATGCCCGGTCCGATTCTCTAAACGTAAATTGATTGTCACTAAATTGAAGAAAAATATAGGGGTGCAACTTGGGTGGGCTGGGTTGAAAGAAGATTGACCTGGGCGGCTGGTCATGTGGGCTTCAACTGGATGCAGTGTAAATTCTTTAAATCTGGTATGCAGTTTGTACCTATAGAAAAATCAACTTCTAGGGGTCCAAGGTGGTGAAGAATTAGAGCCAGGGATCAACCAGGAAGAAGATGGGGTGGATAAGGTAAGGGTCTATTGCAGGAAAAATGAAGAAAAGTAGAAAAGAGTAGGAAGAATTCAAAAGTGGAAAGGTTGAGGTCGTATGTTGAAGGTGATATTGAGTTCAGTGGAAGGGGTGAAACCAGGAGAAAAAAAACTAGGGGAAGAATGGGTTAATAGGGTTGTTATTTGAGCAAACATTATGAAAATAATCAGTTTGAATGTAAGAGGACTTGGGAGTGAGAAGGAAAAGGAGAGCTATCAAAGATTTACTTAGAAGGGAAAAGTCAGACATTGTGTTGATACAAGAAACAAAACTGTTGGAGATGGAATGAAGGTGGATAAGAAGCATTTCGGGTTCAAGGGGTGTTAGATGGTCTTTCAGCCCTTCTTGTGGGGCCTTAGGGGGAATGTTGACAATGTAGAAGGATGATGTGGTAGAGTCAATGGTGGAATTGATAGGAAGATTCTCGATATTAATTAAATTCAAAAACATCAAGGATGGTTTTATATGGGTTGTCACCAATGGTTTTGGTCCAAATTGACACCAAGAAAGAAATGAAATGTGAGAGGAATTCTATGCTATTAGGGGCTTATTGGATGGGTTGTGGTGTGTGGCAGGGGATTTTAATGTGGTGAGGTTCTCAAATGAAACAAACAACCCCAACCAGTAGGTCACCACTAGTATGAGTAAGTTAAATGAATTTGTGGGGACTTGTGAACTGAAGGAAGTTCCCCTATTGCAAGCCCGACTCACGTGGTTGAATTTCCAGGAAGTGCCCCAATGCTCAAAATTAGACAAATTCCTATTTAATGAACTTTAGGAATCAATGTAGGAAACTTGGTGTCTAGATTTTTACCTAGAGTCACCTCGAATCACTGTCCTATTAAGCTAGATTTAGGAACTTTGCAAATGGCCCTACCCCGTTTAAGTTTGAAACATGTGGGTTAGACACCTATATTTTGTGAGGAATGTAGAGGCTTAGTGGAAGGAGGAATTAAGAGGAGTGGAACGGAAAGGGGTGAGATTTAACAAAAAATTAAAGAGATTGAGAGAGAGAATTAAGGAATGGAGTAGGGAGCGGTTTGGAAGAATAGAGGAGCAAAAGATTACTCTCGTCTAAATTAGAGGAGCTAAATGAGAAAGAAGCCCCAGGGACTCTAGTTGTGGAGGAGAGAGCGTTAAGATGTAGGGTTAAGAAAGAGTTGAAAGAAGTGCTCTTAAAGGAAGAGATTTGTTGAAGACAAAAGTGCTGATGCAAGTGGATTAAAGAAGGGGATGGTAATGCAAAATTCTTTCATGTCCTGGTGAATGGGAGGAGGAAAAATTATATGGCCAACGCAGAGATAGGAGGGAAGGAGATAACCAATCAGGAGGAAATTGATAAGATTTTTGTGTACCATTTCAAATCTACTTTTAGAAAGCCTTTGAATGAGAGAATGAGTGTGGCAGGAATTGAATGGCCTTATGTGGAGACTGAGTTAGCAAATTGGTTGGAAAGAGATTTTTAATAAGTTCCATATCTCTTTTAATAAAATTACTGTTATTGATAAAAAAATGGATTTTTTAGAAGAGGAAATTCAGAAGGCAATGTTCTTAATGGACAGATCCAAAGCTCACAGACCAAATGGTTTTACAATGGCCTTTTACCAGGATTGCTGGAAAATTGTGAAAGATGACTTGGTTGAGGTTTTCAATGAATTTGCAGAGAAGCATAGAATTAACCCAGGGGTGAATGCAACCTTTTTAGCTCTTGAACCAAAGAGAATTGATGCTAGTCATCCATAGGACTTTAGACCAATCAGCCTAGTAGCTAGCATTTACAAGATCTTAGCCAAGGTTCTCTCATGGAGATTAAAGTCGGTCCTCAAAGCTGTAATCACTCAAAATCAAGGGGCTTTTATTTAGGGGAGGCAGATAGCTGATCAGATTCCATTTGCTAATGAATGTGTTGAGGGTAATCACTCAAAATCAAGGGGCTTTTATTCAGGGGAGGCAGATAGTTGATCAGATTCTATTTTCTAATGAATTTGTTGAGGATTTAAAAAGACCTAGGAGGATTTGAAAAATTGTGGGTTTGGGGAGAGATGGTGCAAATGAGTCTCTAGTTGTGTAAAGTCTTGCCACTATTCCATTTTGGTTAATGGGATTGTTATAGATTTCTTTCCAGCCATCAGAGCTTGAGGCAAGGTGATCATCTCTCATCGTTTCTCTTCATTCTAGTAACGGATGTGGTTAGTAGAATGATCTTAGCCTTAGGGAGATTATAATAAAATGGTGGAAGGTTGGAAGAAATAGGGTCCCAATTACACACCTACAGTTTGCCGATGATATTATAATTTCTGTGAGGGTGGAGAGCAAAATTTGGTAATCAATTAGGAGTTGGTGAAGATATCTGAGCTTATCTCTAATCTGAAAGTCAACCTTGATAAGAGTTGCGTAGCAGGAATCAACTTGGAAGAAGAGGAACTAAACTTTGCTGCAGATATTTTAGTGTCCTATTGCTAATTGGGCTTTGACCTACTTAGGACTTCCTCTATGTGCAAATCCTAAGGAGAGCATTTTCTAGAACCCCATAGTGGAGAGATGTATCTTTGGGAGAAAGGATTACTCTGATTAAATCCACATTGCTAGCCTACCAATCTATTTCCTATTAGTTTTTAGAATCCCCCAAAAAGAAGCCAAGAAAATTGAGAAGATTATGAGGGACTTTTTGTGGGAATTGGGTGATGAAAGAAAGAAGCATATGGTTAAATAGGAAGTTGTGTGTAGGAATCTTCAACAAGGAGGATTGGGTATTGGTAATGTGGATAAAAAGAATAGGGCTTTTCTAGGGAAATGGGTTTGTAGGTGGCCAATGGAAAGGGATAGATTGTGGCATGAAGTAATAGCCAACATACATGGAAGGTCGGGAAATGGTTGGGATGCATGTGTATCTACCAGAGCCACTCTGGCCTCGCCTTGGAAAGCTATTCATAGCATTCTACCTCACTTTCTCCACCTCGTCAAATATGATGTTTGCTCTGGGTTTCTATTAAATTCTGGGAGAATACTTGGGTGGGTTCTCTGTTCTCATTTGTTAATGGAACTCTTCCCCTCCTTATTCTTAGTTTCTTTGTACTAAAATGTGTCAAGATTTGTTGTTCCTCCTTCAAATCCTATGGGCCTTAGTTGGGACTTTGGCTTCTGCAGAGGTCTTAGGGATAACGAACTTTTGGCTTGTATGGATCTTCTACAACTCCTTCAAAATTAAGGGTGCAACTTGGGTGGACCCAACCCGAGCCCGAACTGGCCCAGCCCAGAATTTTACACGGGCTGGGCTTGGGCCCAAGAAGTCGGGCTTTTTAATTTTTCGGGCCGGTCTCGGGCCTAGCCCTAATTATATACATACATATTTGTGTATATAACATTTGTATAGATATTTTGCATACATATTTACATACATACATACATAAATATATGCATATATATATATATATATATTTGCATAAATACATTTATATATGTATATCTTTAGAGTGGGTTCATTGACCAACCCGGACCCAAACCCAACCTAAGTGCATCAAACTATAGGGAGGGGTGGGCTCTGGTTGGGAAAATCGGAATCAAGCTCGGTCTTGGGCCGGGCTAGGGCCTTAAGCCCAAATTTTAGGGCCGGGCCTGGGTTGACCATAAACCCGGCCCAACCTGCCCGAATTGGACCCCTATTCAAGATGTTTGCTCAAAACCTGATAAACCTGATAAGTGGATTTGGGCCCTCAACCCTAAGAGTTTGTTTTCTTGTGCATCTTTGTTCAAGACTTTTTGTGATTCCTCAACTTCTTCCTTTCCCTTTAAAGAGTTTTGGTGTAGACCAATTCCACCCAAAGTAAGAGCTTTATGTTGGGAAGTAGTTCACGGGAAGATAAATACTATGGACTTGCTTCAAAAGAGAAGACCTAATTCCTGTCTCTCCCCTAACTGGTGTGTCTTATGCAAATCCAGTAATGAGAGTCTTCATCTACTGATTTCCTGCCCCTTCACTGCAGATATTTGGCTTTGGTTTTTTCCTTTGTTTGGGTACAGGTGTACTTTACCAACAGAGGTTACTATGTTATTTGATCCCTCATGTTTTACTTGGCCAAAGAAAAGAGGGTGGATAATGTTGAGATGTGTCAGAGCAGCTTTGATTTGGACCATATGGGAAGAGAGGAATGCAAGAATCTTCTCAAAGAAAGAGAGAAGCAAGGAAGAAATCAGGATTTGTGTGATGGTTAGGGTGATCCACTGGATCAAGACTCTAGAGTTGTTTTCCCAGTTCTCCTTCAATGATACCTGGAGGAATTGAGAAGCAATTGCTAAAAGCTCTAAGAGAAAGGACAGAGTGGAGGTGGTCTCTGGGTACCACCAATTGAAGGTTTTGTTTAACTGAATTTTGATGGGAGTAGCCGAGGTAATCCAGACCCTTCTGGAATAGGAGGGGTTTTGAGAGAAGGAGAAGGTAAACCTATAACACTTTTTCCTGAGGTAATCCAGGCCCTTCTAGAATAGGAGGGGTTTTGAGAGATGGAGAAGGTAAACTTATAACACTTTTTCCTAGCCTTGCGGGTATGGGTGACTTCCTCAAAACGGAACTGCTTGCTGCAATTCAAGGGGTGCAGATGGTTAGTGAGCTAAACTTATCAAATGTGGTGATTGAAGGGGATTCAAAAGTGGTGGTAGAATGGAAATGAAAAAATTTACATGGCTAACCAGGATTATGAATTTGAGGATACAATGGGTGAGATCAGCGAATAGAGTGGTGGATGCTTTGGATCTTTTAAAGTTCAATAGTAAAACTTTAAAACAAAGTTTAAATAATGCATATAATATATAATATAATGTAGTAAAATACATATTAGTAAGATCTAGCAATATGGATGATATTGTAATAAGGTGTCTTCTTTATCATTTTAGTACCTAGGTGGGCATCTTATTGCCTAGGCAGGTGCTTAGTCACTAGGCGTTTAGGTGAGGCACCCAGCCAAGGGTGCTACCTTCACTACAACCCTTAACTGCCCAAGAAGATAGCGACATGGAATATTTTTTTGGGTAACTCAATAGCCACTATTTGAAAAACTGGACTCATGTCCACAAAGTGAATTCACATAGCCACAGTGAATTATGAAATGCTGAACAGATTCCTCCTTACTATATGAACAACAGGGGTTATCTAAAGCTATCCCTTTAGAAATAGTACGATTCTTGGTAAGAATTTTTTCTAAAATAGCAGTCCATATGATAAAAGACACCTTGGATGGTGCAGGGAACTTCCAAATCTTCAACCATGGGAAGTGATCTGGAGCTGAGCCCTCCAGGGCCACTTAAAAGGATGTCAGTGGATGACTGAAAGTCTGAAAATAAACTCAACTTACAAACCTTCTAAACTTTCACATCTGAAGTGCCTGCTTCTACATGCGTTCTGCTAAGGCCTAAGAGTATCCATTATCTCAACCAAGCCATCTGCTTCCTAATTATTGATGTTTTGATGTAACTGAGGTGTCTACATAGTATGACCACCAGTTTCCTCATATTGTATTCTGATGCACAGCCAAAACACCAAACCAGTAGAAAAACAGCAGCAAGATGTATCATATTCCCTGATTGTAGCTTCATTCTTCTGGCCAATTAAAAAAAAAAATGGATACACCATGGATCTTTCTAAAAGCATATGATCCTATTTGATAAATTGAGCACATATGATCCTATTTGCATGTTGCCCTTCAACATGCTCAACCTATAGGATGTACTAGTTGATAGGGTTTCCCAATCCATGGAGAAACACCAATATTTGTGGCTAAGAGCGTCTCTCAACAGGTTCCATTTTCTCAACTCTGTACCTCCATAACCATTTGCCTAGAAGCATTTTGTTGATCACCCTATGAGATTGAACACTTTCTCACCATTCCTTTTGGATAAAGATACTTGGTGCCATGCTACTACATCAAAGTTCCTTTCATCATTAATTGCTTTCCACAGAAAATCCCTTCTCAGTTTCTCAAGTGTAGCTGCCACCATATGCAAGTTCTCACTAATGCCTAGGCGGGTGCCTAGGCGACAAGGCCTCCCTTGGAGGCTCGCCTCGCCCAGCCGCCTAGCAGTTTTGTATACTGTCATAAAATACTATTATATTGTTACTTTTTTGAGATTATAATTATAAAATAGACATTATTAAACAAAAATATTCTTTTTTTTGTGTTTATAAACTAACACAAACATTGCTAACTGCTGTATTGAACCCTCAAAGACTTCAGAATTTGAACCAGTAAGTAAGGGAAAAACTTAAAGTTTTGTCTAATCAACACATTTCTTCTTTTTTTCTTTTCTTCTTTTCCTATAACAAAAATAGGGGTTCAGTCTCCATATATATTGAATTTTCTTTTCTTTCTTATTTTTCTTCTCATAAATATGTTGATTTTCTAGACATAAACATGAGGTTTATAATTTTCTTATGAAAATTATGGATAGTTATTAAGGAAAGATGATTATGGAACCTAGGGAACTACCTAGGATATGTATTTTTCACTTAAAAAAAATCCATTGCCTAGGCGACAAGGTGCCCCCCTGTTGCCTAGCCTCGCCTTGGTGCCTTGAAAACTATGATTTAGGGGTTGTTTGGTGTTGTAGCTCAATAAATTGATTGTTTCAATCCAGTGGGCCACACTGGCATGGATGAAATCACACCACACTCTATCATGGTGTTCTACACTGGCGTGGATGGTGTGGATGCCTTATCAGCAAAATTTTCGGTAAAATACCTTAGTGATATATTACAGGACCTTACAACAATGATTGCATCTACTGTGGCATGGGTTGATCCATGAGATTTATATGTGGATGAGAAATTGTGATATACCCTGTTCAATCCACACTATGGTGTGGACTGAACTGAGCTACACCTTAAAGGAACACTTCTTGTACCCTGGCATGGATTGGAACCAAGCAATCCACACTATTTTCAAAATGAACCACAGAACCAAACGCCTCCTATAGTGGTTACAGCTCTTCAAACAGACATGCTATCATATTTCAGAAGCTCTTGCCATGGTTCAACCAAAGAAGTCTTGACCATGTGTTGATCTTCAAACTGAAGCATTTTGGATGGAGCAAACAGTTCCAGAGGGGAAAAATAGTAAAACCTACATGTGAAAATAATTTTTTTCTTGTTTTTTTACAGTAACAAGATTTTCTTGTTGTGGTCAACATTATCATGGTCATTTCTGTTAATGCTTGGGTAAGCTTTGACTGAAATTATGTTGCAAAAAGCTAAAATTTTGAGGTTGAGAGTGTTTCCTTCTTTATGTCTGCATCATTTATAATTGTAATTTAACTAGAGTTTTAGGCATTCTTAACAGTATATGTTACTACATATCAATCCCATGATATTATTTTAAATGCCCATTATTATATAATAAATTGTAAGTGTGTTTTGATGCTAATTCTATCATTTCCTGAGGCTTCATCCTCATACCATGTTATCCATGTTTTCCTTGTGAACAATGCTTCCATGAACCTCCAGAAGCCTCCATTCATTAACTCCATCTCCATACAATTGAGGTGTAAATACTTGATTGGTATGAATTATCATGAACCTTTGCCATTAAGGATGACTTATTTTCTTCCGTGGTAAATAAACTCTGTTTACTGCTTATGGTTTTGTGTAATGTTCATCATTGCAACCTTCATCTGATGAGCCATCTAGTTTTGTTGGTTTAGTTCACATGACAATTTCATAGCACAGTTTATACCGACTGAATTTTAAGCAAGTTTCTCTGTTTGGCAGAATCTTTTGGGAAACTAAGAAATTTGAAGGACATACAGACATGGTAGAGCCATGGTATGGGACTGCATATTCTGTCATAAAGCTCACAGGCTCCATGATACAGGTATGTTGCTAGATGACTACTTCAAACAGTAATTATTTTTTTTTTTGAAAATGGTAATATAAGATTAAGCCAAATAGTGCAACAGAGAGAAAGGGCTACCTCTAGGCAGATCACCCTATAATTCTTGTAAAATAAAATAAGTAAAAAAGCATGGGGTATTAGGCATGCTGATATTTTGATCCTTGTTTGTATACCGATACTCAATACATATAATTTGATCCTTGGTGGGGATAGAACCCTTGTTTTCAATAAGGGAGAAAGCCTATGTTTGTGCTCATAAAAGGAGAACAAGGAGCAGAGCCCCTTTTTTTCCAAGAAGGCAAAGAAAATGCATACCTATGTGACTGCATGGTTCCAATCCTGTAAAACAGCAAACATAAAAAACAAAAATTTTTATGGTAATGTGTAATATTATAACGGTTTTGGTTGAGAACTCTATTTTAATACTGTAAGCCCATATATTGAAAACATAAAAAGTAGGGAATTTACTAATATGAGCTCTTCTAAATTTTCATGTACAAATTAGGGAACTTGGAACAAAGTCTTTGGAAAAAAATCCTCCAACAGGAACTTGTGTCCACTATTGATAAAAAAAAAAAAAAGACAAAATTAGTGTCCACTAGGTCCTCTTTGCATTCAACTTTTACCTAGCTATTAAAATGTCTTTAGACATCCAATAGCCTTTTCCATTTATTGTTATTATTGCTGGTGAGAGCTCAATCAAAGATGAAGTTGCCTTTTCTTTATTTCATTTGTTTTATACTTTATGTATATAAATCAAGCAGTCAAAACTGTTTCTGACTATCTTTTATTATTTTTTTGAAAGTTGAAGTATTATATTCATCATTATAAAAAAAATGAAAATTTGCAGCCCTTTGTACCATGAGATTTTATATAGATGCCACAAGGCAGCTAATCATTCACACACACATAAAATGAAAACAGAAAACTGCCAAAACATATAGTTTGAATTGAAAAAAAAATTGCAGCCAAGCCCTAATAAAATCAAAATAAAAACAGGATGATCAGATCCTTTGGTTGAAACACCCTGCTGTTACTCTTTAACCTGATTGCTGGACCTACTGCCAAAGGGATCACCAATCAGCAAATTTTGCCTCTCCTGCTCATTCCATTGACCACCCAAGCACTCAGCATCTTCAACAGAGATTCCAATTGACAATCCATAAGATGAATGTTCTGCAAATGTTGTTGCCAGATTCTGCTAGTGAAAGCACGATTAAGAAAAATATTGTTGGAGCTTTCTGGCCACTGCTCGCAAATAGAGCACAAGATGCCATTCAGGGACATCCCTCTCCTAGGAAGATTCACCTTAGAGTGACATTTGTCCAGAGCATTAAGACAAAACTTGTTTTGTCTCCCTTCTCCATCCTGATTCCAATGCTGTTCAAGAAATCTGGGAAAGCTTTGCAAATTCCTTTCCTCAGTCCTCACACGGTCACACCACAACCATGTGAGAGTTCACAATCTTTTATATTCATTTTTCATTTTTATTGGGATAATTATATCCATTTAGATTTCAAAATTTGGTTCTAGGAAATCAAGTTTCAATAAAAGAATATGAGAAAATATAAAGAAACATTACTTATTGTTAGTGTCGAGTATGTATGGGAATTTCTGTCTTTGTGCTTATGTTTAGGTGCTGATGCATAACTTTATGTTAGATCTAATGTCCCTAACTTAAGTAGGGGCACATGTGACTTTTCCACAATATTTTAGTAATATAAAACAAATCTGGCCGAATGGGAGGGTTGATTTTTCTCTCATTCGAACCAGACCTTTTCCTCCTTGTCTTCTCTTCTACTCTTCTCCTTTCTCTCTTTCTCTCTTCTCTCTTTTCCTTGATTGTTATCAATCTAACAGGCAGGCCGAACTCTAATATGGTATCAGAGCTAAACTGAGAAAATCGGATCTGCCCAGAATTCTGTTCACTACGCACCTAGTCTAGGGTTTTTTCTTGCTTTCTTCGCCATCAGTTGGAGATAAGGGAAAGGGCTGAAAAGGAGTGATCGTCCTCTTCCCTTGGAGGTTTCTATGCCTCCAGTTGTGGTGTTCGTGGTCGGTTGCTGCAGTTTGTAAGAAGCCCTCCCCTAATCGATGAAGAGAAGAGGGCTGATTCGTGTGGTGCAGTCGGTGCCTTGTGTGGTCTGATTTTCGGGTGATCAGGTAAGAGGTTCTATTCATTTTCTTGGTGTGAATTAAATGATAAGTCTGTTTCAGACTGTATGGTGGGATTTCAGATTGTAGTGTGCTAGGGTTTGTGCATTTTTCAGTGTGATTCGAAGGGGAAGTGTTCCTCAAACAGTGTGGTGAAGTTTCAGGTAGTCGTGAGGTAGGGTTTGTGGTGTAAAGAGTGTAGTTTACAACAATAGTAAATGCTGAAATCAGTGTGTAGTGTGGTCTAGTGTGTCGAATTTAACAATACCAGAATTCAACAATGGGAGACAACAGTGATAGCAAGACTAGTGTGATGGTTCCTACTGACTACCTGAATGTTCAAATGACCTCCATTAAGCTGAAGGAGAAAATTATGTACCTTGGGCTAAATCTGTAGAAGTCTTTTTTAAGGCAAAGAAGAAGGTGAAACACATAAGGGACGAAAAACCCTCCACCGATTCTCATGGGTATGATGATTGGGAGCAAGCAGACACACAAATTATCACATGGTTATGGAATTGTATGGAACGCAAGATTAGTGTAAATTTAATGTTTCTTGATACTGCCAAAGAAGTGTAGGACCATGCTAAGAAGCTGTATTCGGGCCAAGACAATACAACCAGAGTATATCAGTTGTATTAAGAATACTTTAATCTACAACAGGGTAATCAGATTATGCTAGTATGAATAACATTCGTAATGAATTGAATGTTTATCACCCCCTCACTTCTGATGTCAAAATTCAGCAACAACAGAGGGAACAACTTGATGTGACTCGATTTTTGGTGGGGCTGAAATCTGAGTATGAACCAGTGCGGGCTCAGATACTAGGAGGATCAACTCTCCCTTCCTTAGAAGAGAACCCTTCCTTACAAGGATTTCCATTGGATCTACTGAGAACCCTAATGTTTCCAATAGATCAGCCTTTGTAGTGTCTAGAGGTCGTGGTGTTAGAAATGGAGCTCGGGGAGCTCAGTCTGGCCGTAGTGGCAACAATGGACCGGCATATGGTCGGAGTGGTGGTAGTGGACCTACATATAACCGTGGTGGTGGTCGTACTAGAGGTCGAGATTCAGGGGGAGCTCGTGGCAGAGGACGTAGTTTGGGTCCGAGGAGGTGTACACACTGTGGTATGGATGGACATACCATTAATTATTGCTATGACTTGCATGGTCCACCCTCAACTTGGGCCAATCATGCTGTGACTAGTGACAGTAGCTTCAAATAGGAGAGTCATTCAGCTGATCAAATACCTTCTACATCCATAGATGTTACTAGGAAGGAGATGATGAGTATTCCCCGTGATAAGTATGAGAGGTTTGTTCAGGCCACATCTCAGCAGAACACGGCCACTCTCGCACACTCAAGTATGGCTTGTCTGGCATCCACACCCAATCCATGGATTATTGATTTTGGAGCCTCCGATCACATGACTGGAACTCCAGGTGTGTTTTCTTCCCTTTCTCATTGCCCAATATCACAATTTGTTACTCTTGCTAATGGTTCCACATCTTCCCTTTGTTGTGTTGGTAATGTTAACATGGACCCTGTATCCTTATCCTCAGTTTTGTATGTCCCTAAATTTCCTTTTAATCTTATGTTAGTTAGTAAGTTGACCAAGTCTCTTAATTGCTCCATTACCTTTTACCCCTCTTCGTGTGTTTTTCAGGATCTCAAGACGGGGATGAAGATTGGTGGAGGGCATGAAGCTGGTGGATTGTATTATTTTGATGGTGGT